CTCTTCAGGTGAACTGTCGCTTCAGGTGAACTGTCCCTTCAGGTGAACTGTCCCTTCAGGTGAACTGTCCTTTCAGGTGAACTGTCCCTTCAGGTGAACTGTACCTTCAGGTGAACTGTCCCTTCAGGTGAACTGTCCTTTCAGGTGAACTGTCCCTTCAGGTGAACTGTCCCTTCAGGTGAACTGTCCCTTCAGGTGATCTGTCCCTTCAGGTGAACTGTCCCTTCAGGTGAACTGTCCTTTCAGGTGAACTGTCCCTTCAGGTGATCTGTCCCTTCAGGTGAACTGTCGCTTCAGGTGAACTGTCCCTTCAGGTGATCTGTCCCTTCAGGTGAACTGTCCCTTCAGGTGAACTGTCCCTTCAGGTGAACTGTCCTTTCAGGTGAACTGTCCCTTCAGGTGATCTGTCCCTTCAGGTGAACTGTCCCTTCAGGTGAACTGTCCTTTCAGGTGAACTGTCCCTTCAGGTGATCTGTCCCTTCAGGTGAACTGTCCCTTCAGGTGATCTGTCGCTTCAGGTGAACTGTCCCTTCAGGTGAACTGTCCCTTCAGGTGAACTGTCCTTTCAGGTGAACTGTCCCTTCAGGTGATCTGTCCCTTCAGGTGAACTGTCCCTTCAGGTGATCTGTCGCTTCAGGTGAACTGTCCCTTCAGGTGAACTGTCCCTTTAGGTGAACTGTCCCTTCAGGTGAACTGTCCTTTCAGGTGAACTGTCCCTTCAGGTGATCTGTCCCTTCAGGTGAACTGTCCCTTCAGGTGAACTGTCCCTTCAGGTGAATTGTCCCTTCAGGTGAACTGTCCCTTCAGGTGAACTGTCCCGTCACGTGAACTGTCCCGTCACGTGAACTGTCGCTTCAGGTGAACTGTCCCTTCAGGTGAACTGTCCCTTCAGGTGAACTGTCCCTTCAGGTGAACTGTCGCTTCAGGTGAACTGTCCCTTCAGGTGAACTGTCCCTTCAGGTGAACTGTCGCTTCAGGTGAACTGTCCCTTCAGGTGAACTGTCCCTTCAGGTGAACTGTCCCTTCAGGTGAACTGTCCCTTCAGGTGAACTGTCCCTTCAGGTGAACTGTCCCTTCAGGTGAACTGTCCCTTCAGGTGAACTGTCCCTTCACGTGAACTGTCCCTTCAGGTGAACTGTCCCTTCAGGTGAACTGTCCCTTCAGGTGAACTGTCGCTTCAGGTGAACTGTCCCTTCAGGTGCACTTTCCCTTCAGGTGATCTGTCCCTTCAGGTGAACTGTCCCTTCAGGTGAACTGTCTCTTCAGGTGAACTGTCCCTTCAGGTGAACTGTCCCTTCAGGTGAACTGTCCCTTCAGGTGAACTGTCCTTTCAGGTGAACTGTCCCTTCAGGTGAACTGTCGCTTCAGGTGAACTGTCCCTTCAGGTGAACTGTCCTTCAGGTGAACTGTCCCTTCAGGTTGAACTGTCCTTTCAGGTGAACTGTCCCTTCAGGTGAACTGTCGCTTCAGGTGAACTGTCCCTTCAGGTGAACTGTCCTTTCAGGTGAACTGTCCCTTCAGGTGAACTGTCGCTTCAGGTGAACTGTCCCTTCAGGTGAACTGTCCCTTCAGGTGATCTGTCCCTTCAGTGAACTGTCCCTTCAGTGAACTGTCTCTTCAGGTGAACTGTCCCTTCAGGTGAACTGTCCCTTCAGGTGAACTGTCCCTTCAGGTGAACTGTCCCTTCAGGTGAACTGTCCCGTCACGGAACTGTCCCTTCAGTGAACTGTCCCTTCACGTGAACTGTCCCTTCAGGTTCTGTCTCTTCAGGTGAACTGTCCCTTCAGGTTAACTGTCCCGTCACGTGAACTGTCCTTCAGGTGAACTGTCCCTTCACGTGAACTGTCCCTTCAGGTGGAACTGTCCTTCACGTGAACTGTCCCTTCAGGAACTGTCCCTGTCCCTTCAGGTGAACTGTCCCTTCAGGTGAACTGTCCCTTCAGGTGAACTGTCCCTTCAGGTGAACTGTCCCTTCAGGTGAACTGTCCTTTCAGGTGAACTGTCCCTTCAGGTGAACTGTCGCTTCAGGTGAACTGTCCCTTCAGGTGAACTGTCCCTTCAGGTGAACTGTCCCTTCAGATGAACTGTCCCTTCAGGTGAACTGTCCCTTCAGGTGAACTGTCCCTTCAGGTGAACTGTCCCCTTCAGGTGAACTGTCCCTTCAGGTGAACTGTCCCTTCAGGTGAACTGTCCCTTCAGGTGAACTGTCCCTTCAGGTGAACTGTCCCTTCAGGTGAACTGTCTCTTCAGGTGAACTGTCCCTTCAGGTGAACTGTCCCTTCAGGTGAACTGTCCCTTCAGGTGAACTGTCCCTTCAGGTGAACTGTCCCTTCAGGTGAACTGTCCCTTCAGGTGAACTGTCCCTGTCTCTTCAGGTGAACTGTCCCTTCAGGTGAACTGTCCCTTCAGGTGAACTGTCCCTTCAGGTGAACTGTCCCGTCACGTGAACTGTCCCTTCAGGTGAACTGTCCCTTCACGTGAACTGTCCCTTCAGGTGAACTGTCTCTTCAGGTGAACTGTCCCTTCAGTGAACTGTCCCTTCAGGTGAAACTGTCCCTTCAGGTGAACTGTCCTTCAGGTGAACTGTCCTTCAGGTGACTGTCTCCTTCAGGTGAACTGTCCCTTCAGGTGAACTGTCCCGTCACGTGAACTGTCCCTTCAGGTGAACTGTCCCTTCAGGTGAACTGTCCCTTCAGGTGAACTGTCCCTTCAGGTGAACTGTCCCCTTCAGGTGAACTGAACTGTCCCTTCAGGTGAACTGTCCCTTCAGGTGAACTGTCCCTTCAGGTGAACTGTCCCGTCACGTGAACTGTCCCTTCAGGTGAACTGTCCCTTCAGGTGAACTGTCCCGTCACGTGAACTGTCCCTTCAGGTGAACTGTCGCTTCAGGTGAACTGTCCCTTCAGGTGAACTGTCCCTTCAGGTGAACTGTCCCTTCAGGTGAACTGTCCCTTCAGGTGAACTGTCCCTTCAGGTGAACTGTCCCTTCAGGTGAACTGTCCCTTCAGGTGAACTGTCCCGTCACGTGAACTGTCCCTTCAGGTGAACTGTCCCGTCACGTGAACTGTCCCTTCAGGTGAACTGTCCCTTCAGGTGAACTGTCCCGTCACGTGAACTGTCCCTTGTCCCTTCAGGTGAACTGTCCCTTCAGGTGAACTGTCCCTTCAGGTGAACTGTCCCCTTCAGGTGAACTGTCCCTTCAGGTGAACTGTCCCGTCACGTGAACTGTCCCTTCAGGGTGAACTGTCAGTGCTTCAGGTGAACTGTCCCTTCAGGTGAACTGTCCCTTCAGGTGAACTGTCCCTTCAGGTGAACTGTCGCTTCAGGTGAACTGTCCCTTCAGGTGAACTGTCCCGTCACGTGAACTGTCCCTTCAGGTGAACTGTCGCTTCAGGTGAACTGTCCCTTCAGGTGAACTGTCCCTTCAGGTGAACTGTCCCTTCAGGTGAACTGTCCCTTCAGGTGAACTGTCCCTTCAGGTGAACTGTCCCTTCAGGTGAACTGTCCCTTCAGGTGAACTGTCCCGTCACGTGAACTGTCGCTTCAGGTGAACTGTCGCTTCAGGTGAACTGTCCCGTCACGTGAACTGTCCCTTCAGGTGAACTGTCGCTTCAGGTGAACTGTCCCGTCACGTGAACTGTCCCTTCAGGTGAACTGTCCCTTCAGGTGAACTGTCCCTTCAGGTGAACTGTCGCTTCAGGTGAACTGTCCCTTCAGGTGAACTGTCCCTTCAGGTGAACTGTCCCTTCAGGTGAACTGTCGCTTCAGGTGAACTGTCCCGTCACGTGAACTGTCCCTTCAGGTGAACTGTCCCTTCAGGTGAACTGTCCCTTCAGGTGAACTGTCCCTTCAGGTGAACTGTCCGTCAGGTGAACTGTCCCTTCAGGTGAACTGACGCTTCACGTGAACTGTCCCTTCAGGTGAACTGTCGCTTCAGGTGAACTGTCCCTTCAGGTGAACTGTCGCTTCAGGTGAACTGTCCCTTCAGGTGAACTGTCCCTTCAGGTGAACTGTCCCGTCACGTGAACTGTCCCTTCAGGTGAACTGTCCCTTCAGGTGAACTGTCCCTTCAGGTGAACTGTCCCTTCAGGTGAACTGTCCCTTCAGGTGAACTGTCGCTTCAGGTGAACTGTCGCTTCAGGTGAACTGTCGCTTCAGGTGAACTGTCCCTTCAGGTGAACTGTCCCTTCAGGTGAACTGTCCCTTCAGGTGAACTGTCCCTTCAGGTGAACTGTCCCTTCAGGTGAACTGTCGCTTCAGGTGAACTGTCCCTTCAGGTGAACTGTCCCTTCAGGTGAACTGTCCCTTAAGGTGAACTGTCCCTTAAGGTGAACTGTCCCGCCCGGTCTGCAGGTGACGACCATACAAGAGAAAAGGTGCCAAATTGTCAAATGATTTCAAGAGCCCAGAAGTTGTGAGAAGGTGGAGAAGAGAGGCACATAACTAGAGAACATCATCAGTGTGGTGGCGGGAAAGACAGAATAAGAGAAAGAAGAGTTGAAGAGATAGAGCAAGAGAAAGAAAATGGGAAGAGATACAATAAGAGAAACAGAAGGAAGATACAAACTAAGAGAAAGAAAAGAGCAAGAGACAAAGTAAGAGAAAAGGGAGACGGAGATCATGCAATAATCTATGCAACAAGAGAGAAGCAAGAGATCAACATTGGTATCCATAGCCGGCAATTAGCCGCTAATTACTGGACCACCTATTAGTTAACTGGTTAACAAAGAATCAAAATTAGCTCAAGAAAGAATTAAGAATGAAATAAATCAGGTTGAAAAGATGAAGGGTAGTCCTGCAATTCCTCGACCTCCAGAAAGTCTTCGACACTGTACTCTACAGGATAGAGATATGGGTAGTTGAGTAATTAAGTTGTTGTGGTGAGCAAGGCTCTATTCTGTAATATATTTTACTATATTTATGTCAATAAATCTTGGCAAACAAATATGAATGATTTATTTTTCAGGGAGTTACAAGCAGAATAACCCCCCCCCCAACAGGAGAGCTTCGGTCAGCCTGCTACCGCTGCAGGAAGGCTGCGGTCAGCCTGCTACCGCTGCAGGAAGGCTGCGGTCAGCCTGCTACCGCTGCAGGAAGGCTGCGGCCAGCCTGCTACCGCTGCAGGAAGGCTGCGGTCAGCCTGCTACCGCTGCAGGAGGCTGCGGCCAGCCTGCTACCGCTGTAGGAGGCTGCGGCCAGCCTGCTACCGCTGCAGGAGAGCTGCGGCCAGCCTGCTACCGCTGCAGGAAGGCTGCGGCCAGCCTGCTACCGCTGCAGGAAGGCAGCGGCCAGCCTGCTACCGCTGCAGGAAGGCTGCGACCAGCCTGCTACCGCTGCAGGAAGGCTGCGGCCAGCCTGCTACCGCTGCAGGAAGGCTGCGGCCAGCCTGCTACCGCTGTAGGAGGCTGCGGCCAGCCGGCAACCGCTGCAGGAAGGCTGCGGCCAGCCTGCTACCGCTGCAGGAAGGCTGCGGCCAGCCTGCTACCGCTGAAGGAGGCTGCGGCCAGCCTGCTACCGCTGTAGGAGGCTGCGGCCAGCCTGCTACCGCTGTAGGAGGCTGCGGCCAGCCTGCTACCGCTGCAGGAAGGCTGCGGCCAGCCTGCTACCGCTGCAGGAAGGCTGCGGCCAGCCTGCTACCGCTGTAGGAGGCTGCGGCCAGCCTGCTACCGCTGTAGGAAGGCTGCGGCCAGCCTGCTACCGCTGCAGGAAGGCTGCGGCCAGCCTGCTACCGCTGCAGGAAGGCTGCGGCCAGCCTGCTACCGCTGCAGGAAGGCTGCGGCCAGCCTGCTACCGCTGCAGGAAGGCTGCGGCCAGCCTGCTACCGCTGCAGGAAGGCTGCGGCCAGCCTGCTACCGCTGCAGGAAGGCTGCGGCCAGCCTGCTACCGCTGCAGGAAGGCTGCGGTCAGCTTGGCTTTATCTGAAGGCAACACAATCGTGGAATGGACCGTTGGGACTAATTCTTTAACACCAAAACTTCCCCGCCATTGTTGCTGGCGTGTGTTGTGATTTGCGGGTTGTGACTTGCTGTAAGCACGGCTGTGTGTGTGTGTGTGTGTGTGTGTGTGTGTGTGTGTGTGTGTGTGTGTGTGTGTGTGATTATTTGATTGTGGGTTTACGTTGTTGGTGTGTATATATTTTCGTGTATACAGATACAGTAGACGTTTGTGTGTGTTTATATGTGACGGTGAATGTAATGTATTGTATTTGTGTGTGTGTGAGAGCCTCTGTATGTGCGTGTGTAATTGCGTGGGCTGCCTCAAGTGTGTCGTCTCTCGCGGGACAGTAAAACAAGAGATAATGGTCCCACACGCCATGTTTAGTGCCTCGGGCTGAGAATTTTATCAGACGAGCGGTCGTCGCCGTGTGTGTGTGTGTGTGTGTGTGTGTGTGTGTGTGTGTGTGTGTGTGTGTGTGTGTGTGTGTGTGTGTGTGTGTGTGTACTCATCTATACTCACCTATATGTGCTTGCAGGATCGAGCATTGACTCTTGGATCCCGCCTTTCGAGCATCGGTTGTTTACAGCAATGACTCCTGTCCCATTTCCCTATCATACCTAGTTTTAAAATTATGAATAGTATTTGCTTCCACAACCTGTTCCTGAAGTGCATTCCATTTCCCCACTACTCTCACGCTAAAAGAAAACTTCCTAACATCTCTGTGACTCATCTGAGTTTCAAGCTTCCATCC